CATTGAAATATGTATGCCGTCAACGTGGCTTCTTCCACGGCGTGTTTGTTAATCGGCGTTAAAAAGTATAGACGTTGGAGTTCGACCCGCGGTTAGACAGCCAACTCATATAATAATGATGGTGTCTTTGTTGTAAGTGTGTGGGTGTTGCGTGTGTACGTGCATCTAATACTACTGCAACAATAATAATGATTTGTATGTGCATGTGTGTGTGTCTGTGTGTGTGTGTGTGTGTGTGTTAATGTAAGCGTATGTGCGTGTACCTATAATTATGAAGAGAAGATATGTTGGTAGTTGTGTTTCCTTAATAATGAAGATTTGTATGTTGTATGTGTGGTGTAGTGTATGTACGTAGTAAGATGATTCATTCATACTTTGTATGTGCATGTGTATCTGATACAACGCGTAAAAAACGTGATTCTTATGTTTGTTACGTGTGATTATTTTTTTTTACAATGCACAACACTGACCGCTTTGTTGATTGAGTCTTCCACAAACTCAACACCACTAGCTAATGTAATTTTAAAAAGTGCTCTATTCAACTTTTAAGATGATTAAATGTTCAGTCTTAATAAGAAAATGTTAACAATACATGGTCACACGCATTCATATAAACGTTCTAATATATACAGGAACTTTAACACAAATTTACAGGCTTAAAATATTCTTAATACAGATTCAAAATCAAATTCATAAAATATTTAGCAATTTTTTTTAAATCTGTAAAAAAATTAATTTATTCCTTTATGATGGAACTTTAAATAAAGGTGTCACAGAAGTGACGTTCAAATTGATATATCAATTAAAACACTCACGGTGAACCCTGATAACTTCAATGCATGCTGAGAGGCAATTCTCCTTCCAACACCATGCCAATTAAACTGACGTTCATTGAAATCCTGGAGATAAATTTTTTTAAACCCTCGAAATAGCACGCAGTTCGTTGAAAAGACTAATCCCAAACAAAATGATAGGCTGGTTCAACATTAAGTAGTCATCGACGAACTTTTCATAGAATTTTGAAAAATTTCAAAAAAATTGTGTATGAAGTTTATCCCAACGCAATTAGTAAAGAATTAGTACCTTCTCATATTAATTGCCTTCTTTATTTTTGCATAAATTATTTTAAAAGTTTTGCATTGTAAGTATTCCTATTAAAAATTTGTGCAAAAATAACTGATAGCTGTCCGCATACAAATTTTTACCAAAAAGGTTGAGAATTTAACAGGAGTCAAGCTTTCGTTATCGATGATAGTCTAGAATGCAGCAAATGCGTTTGGATCTGAAGACCTCCCTTTGGTCGTTACGTAGCATGAACTGGACATGCAACAGGCAAGTCATCAAAGGTTAGGTCAAAAAACAAATACATTGGTTTTGAATAACTTAAGGAGGAGCTTGATTGTTAGCATCACGTTCCGTGTAGCCGTGCTTAATAGCAGGCCAACCGAAGGAGCAGAGGTAGGTGAAGTCGAGAACTGTTTTTAATCGGTATGGAAATTTGTTGATCTTTCATATTCAGAAAAATTATAGCCCTAAAATACGTAAAAATTATAGTTTCACTCACTTTATATTTCCAAATTTTAAATAATTTATTTAAAGTCAAACAAAATTTGAACAATATAAAATGAGAAAGATTTAAATTGATCTACATACGTCTTGTGCTACCCACCCATCTACCTACTAAACCTACCCAACCCATCTACCTACTAACCCACCTATTTACCTACTGATCAACCTGCCCACATACCTACCTATGTGTATAAAAGTTGTCCATCTGCAACTTCTTGTATGAACCAGGCTTGTGTCTTTGCTTTGCTTTTTGTGTCTATGTGCATGCCATTAAAAATGCGGTTGTAAATTTTGCAAGATGTCGATTAATAAAGCGTTCCATTCTTTGTGGTTGGTTGGATGGTTGATTGAATGGTTGGTAAGTTGGTTGGTTGTTTGGTCGCTTGGTTTATTGGTTGGTTGATTTGTTGATTGGTTATCTGGTTATCTGGTTAGTTGGCTGGCTGGTTGGATAGCTGGCTGGCTGGCTAGCTGGCTAGCTTGTGGAAATTTTTCCTTGATGAAGAAACTATTGCTTTCTTTAAACAATGCTCGCTGCAGTTTTAAGCTTCTTGATTAAATGTAAATCACAGTATACACAATATACAAACAATATATCTTAACACACGCGCACGCATGCGCCTATATATATATATATATATATATATATATATATATATATATACATGATGAATTCTCATGATAGATAATAATTCTAATTTCAATAAATTGAACTATTTCCAGTAAATTCTAGTAAGGAAAATTGAAAAGACAAACTTCAAATTGATTAATACCAACAATTCGGTAGAATTCATACAATACTGTATTTATATGTTAATTTGCAGTAGATTAACTCATGAACGCAAATATCCAAGGAAAGAAATGAAAGTAACAGAAACTGAGAAATAGAATTGAATTTGCATTGGTGAAAACAATATGTAAGAAAAATTTCTAGCAAATAACTTTTAAATACCTTTCTATGCAGATATTCTTGCAGTCTGATGAAGTTTCATTTGCTTTTACATAAAATTAAACGTATGCGTTTAAAACCTTAGAAAAATTATTTTGTGGCGGTTGTTGAAATTGTTTGCTGTTATTATTTTCGTTGTTCGTATTTTGTTGAGGATCCTTAAATAAAAAATAACTAATACATTTAAAAAAATAATGAATCTTTCCAGCAGGTGGGTGGCAAGAAATTCAATGCTGATACCTGCACCCTTATCCTGAAGAACTAACTATGATCAATTATTAATTTACCATAAACAAATCAACAGACAAAATACGTAAGACAATTTGCATTGAAAGAACTTAAATAAGCATAAACTTTTTTAATTTTCAATTATTTTACAATTTGTCTGTAAATAGATGTGATTTTAAAAAAAACTATGATAAACAAACCAAACAAACAACAATTACATACTACATACATTTATAGGTGCATACATTTATGAACTTTGCGAACTTTCTAAAAAAAAACTACCGCATTGAATCACATTGCACCAATTGGAGCCAATATATCAGCCAGAGCAGTAGGTCTTTATAACAGCCGATACACTACATACGTACCGCAACTCAACTCGACCGCATACTGCAGTGAAACCATTCGTGCCATACAATGCAATGTTCGCACAAAACTACATCTACATGGGCGTTTTCAAATGGTGGCTGGTTATTCCGAACATATCTGGGTAATGGTGTCTCGTGACTTCTATTTTAATCACATCTCGTCACAGCAAACATTCTCAAACACTTTTGCTCGCTGTCGTCTATGTTGATATCTTTGTCGTGACGTCATGCGACATTACAGCGCATAATTTTTAGCGCAATCTTTCAAAAATAATAGAAAGTTTGCATAAAATAAAACAATTATCATCGAACCAGGGTTAAACATTATTGGTTAAAAAGCACCTGGCACCTACCATTTGCATCGTGAACTGGCAAAGATGAAAATTTTTTATAACTTTTTATTTTGTTAAAAATTTTTATAAAAGGTTAGATATGTTTAACTTGTATTTTATGGATATTAATTTAAATATCATTATGTTTGTGTAAATAGAGTGTAAAATCATGAAGATCACAGTAGAGCGAGTTACAATGATCAATTCTAGATAAAACTAATGAAGTAAGAGCATCACTACCACTGCGAATAACCAATAAACCAAGCGATTCTCTGTAAATTCTCAGTAAACCTTTGGCGCCACCACATTGTAGATTTCGAATATCTTTTTCTATGTTTGACTATCTTTTTGAAATCAACGTTACTACCCCAGTGGCTCGTATTTTGGCACCAGCAACATCAACTTACAGTAACTCACATGGTGACATTTACTTGACAATTCACAGACGTAAGCTAAACATGGCAGATTAACTCAGCTAGTTATTTATGAAATAATAGTTAAAATTATGAAACGAATACCGGTATTTTTATAAATAAGCAAATTTACCCAACTGGTTCAATCTACCCGTGGTTCATAAAGGGTAGAACCTTATGGGATAACTTGGAAAGAGAATGTGTGTATTTTCAAGTTTTTTTGTTCTTTGCATATGTATAGAATCTTGAAAATAGTTATTTAATCTATGCACATCTATCCCAACTAAAATGCTGATCGTTTGTGTTTGCTCTAGCTGATTTTAATAGTTGTGTCTGATAGTAATTACAGTCGATGGATGTGATCTTTATAGAAAATATATAATTTAATTTAATCTTGTACGGTTGTGAACATTTTATAGTTAACAAACTATTTTTTGTTTGTCGATGTTTACTGGATGGTCGGCAGCGAGCCGCCATATTACGTTCGCTAGGGTTAGAATTACCTAAACAGCGGATTTGCCGATTAGCTGCAAATAAATTGTTGGACGGTTTTATAATAATCTTTACAGCTGGAAATTATAATATAATGACCATGGTGATTTTTGTTTGCGATTTGTGCGATAAATTATTCTCATCTGTTGACGAACTAAAAGTGCACAAAAGTTCCTCCCACAATGTGAGAACCTGTGCCTTTTGCAGTGCAACATTTGAACAACAATGCCAATCATTGACAGTTGAAGATCATTTTTTGTGTCCAAAATGCCAAACAAGTCAACCTTCAATTGTTATTAAAAAACGTAGTATCATAGAAAAATATGTCCAATCAAAAATGAATAAGAATGATGGTGAGGAAAGCAATGACAATGATGCTATCACAACATCATTAATGTGTGAAGTGTGTGGTGAATGCCTTGATGAGAGTGCTCACGTATGCAATATTGGGGAAGCTACTCACTCTGAAGGAGGTGACATTAGTGATTATGCTGATATCAAAGTTAGTGGCAGTCCTGAAAATGATACGGAATGCCACATTAAATTTAAAGTTGAAGATCAGCAAGACGATGAAGATGAGGCAGAAGTTGGAATAAACAATACTGGTGATATGGATGTTACACCTTCCAACAATTTGGATAACTCTCCTATGAAATGTATTATTTGTGACAAAATGTTTAAAGGTAAAAACCAACTAAATAAACATTTAAGGAGTCATTCAAATCTTGTTAAAAAGTGTAGAATTTGCGAAAAAGAAATCTTTCTGAGAGTTAATGATGACATATCTGATGTTGAAAATTCTGAGATTATTCTCTGTGATAAAGTATGCCTTCATTGCAAAACCATAGAAAGTCATTTGAAAAAACTTGGTGTCAGTTGTAACTTTGAAAAAGATGATGTCAGTAAATACAGTTTTCAATTTTTCAAAAAAAAGGGACTCCATCCCTGTCCAGATTGCAAAAGAGTGTTTAAAAGACTAATAAGCTTGCTAGGACACCAACACAAACATGCTCCCCAGCACACGTGTGATAAATGTGGTCTGCCGTTTTTCACAAATCATATATGCCCTCCAGAAGCTAGTGCGATTAGTAACATTGATTTGGAATTAAAAGATAATAAACCATCGAGTAAATCCAATTTTACCTGCGAGATTTGTAACAGAGTTATGGCAACAAAAAAAAGTTTGGGTAGACATATGATGACAGTGCATATGAGGAAATACAGCTATTACTGTGTAGTATGTCAAATACATTTCTACACAGGTAAAGTGCTCATTAATGATAAGTTTATAGTAGATGGTTTGTTGAAGTTCGTTCCCCTTGGTAAAGAAAAAAATGAAATTTATCGAAACGTTTCCAGAGATGAATATTCTGTAGATCCTAACAATAAAAATAATAATTGCAAAGTAGAGGTTTTAAATGGTGAAAATTTGGATGAGGAAAAAAGTGTAAAAAAATTATTGGAAAAGAGTTCATTAGAGGATTCTCAAGGTGCAGACTTGAAACATTGCCGAACTTGTCATAAAACGTTTTGCAGTCAATCCAACCTGAGAAGGCACATGAAAACACACACTCGCGTTAAAAATTTTTTTTGTGAAAAGTGTGGCAAGAGGATTCGTGGGTTAAAAGCCTTTAAAAATCATGTTTGTAGCATAGACGGAATTCATAAGGGATCATACAAAGAAAGGAAACCTAGGATCAAAGCATTTAACGATTGTTATGATGATGAAACAAAATCAACGGAAGAAACGATGTGCGATGTATGCGGGAAGGTTCTTTCCAGTGTTGCATCTCTACACAAACATGCCATCACGCATGGAGCTAAAAATCATATTTGTGAACAATGTGGAAAAGGATTTCATCATAGGGAATACCTAAAGGAGCATTATATCCAAGTTTGTACAATATACCGTTGAAAATGTTGCTAATTTAATCATGTTCTCATTCATAATAATTGTTTCATCATTTAATTTTTACATTAATTCCATTATTTTATTTTATTATTATTTTTATATTAATAATTTCTATTAATTGTGTGGTGTCACTCATAATGTTATATTTTTGTCTGATAGAAACATGGAGAGGGTAAGTACAAGACATGTCCTGTCTGTCAAAAAGTATTGAAGGGCAGGAATTCCTATGACTCTCATGTTCTGAGGATGCATCCTAATTTGAAGAACAAGGATGCTCCTCCGTCCTACATCTGCCCTGAGTGTGGTAAGGTCTTCAATCAGAAGGGCAACATGTACAAACATCAGCTATCTCATTCCAGTAACCTGAATTTCAAGTGCCACCATTGTAACATTTCATTCAAATATCCAGAACAACTACGGAGGCATATGCTCTGGCACAATGTTCGTTTTTCTATTACTGAAATAGATTTCATCAAAATAGTATACAGTTGAATTTATATTTGTATTCTAATAATCACTTTTTTAAATTTGTGAAGGGTGGTCCTAAATATGAATGCCATTTGTGCGATAGGAAATTTGTGCTGAAATTCCAGCTGACGAAGCATATTAATGAATACCATGGAGGCGTTGTGCTCACGTGTAAATACTGTGATGTCACCATCAAGAGATTTGTGGTTAATATGTTTATTTTATTTCATTGTCAACATTTTTTTAAACTAATGCAAGTTAAAAAATTTTCCATTGATCCAAAACAATTAGAGATATGTTGTTTAGAATTTGAAATCTTTTAACGTTGAAATAAAATTTTTAATGGTGGTTTTCAACTGTTCACTTTTTGAAATGAATACAGTCAATGAAAAGGCATCTAATGAGAAAACACAGTAAAGAGTTGGAATGGCAAAAGAATCCTCTGCTCTTTATGAAGAAGCTCGCCACAACTAGCACGCATTACGTCAACGTTCTCCCATCTGAAGATACAGATAATAATCTGCTGCAAAATGTCAACTCGAAAAATATAAATTCCGTAAGGAAGCGAGTAAATGATGATGACGAAGAAGACGTTGAGGATGATGACACCTACAAAATTGAAGAAATGTTTGATGAAAGTGATAATAGTAATGATGAATGTGGTGACGGTGATGATGATACAGAAAATAATGGAATAAAGAGAGGCAGAAATGATGACAATGACCACGACTACCATCCATCTCCTGTTCATAAAAAACGAAAACTTCAGACAAAATCAAAAAATAATATAATCACCAATAGTGCGAAAATTCGAAATTCAAAAATACTAACAAATAATAATTATCATGCAGCGAAAGCATGCCTCTCTCAATTGCTTCACACTAGCACAAATTCTATTTCAAAGTCTTCCTCATTCACCAACTTGAAATCAACTTGCGAACTTGTGGATACAATATCTTCAGACAAAATGACAAAAACTTCTGCAGTAAGCAGTAAACTAACTAATTTTCGGCAAAATTATTGTTTCAATAAAAATGCAATTACTAACAATGGTGACGGCAATATTTACTCAGGTAATGAAAATTGTACTGATGATCGAACATCAAGTGCTAACAAAATACTACTGCTTAATAAATCTGATTCCGCTGTGATGATTCCGAACAATAAAAGTATTGCCGATGATAACTTATATCTCTTTGATAATTCAGTTAGTTCACACGTTGAAGTTATTGAGACTCAGTTCATTCCCGAAACAGAAGTCGTTATAGTTACTACAAACAGATGATCGAAATGTTTGAAATTTTCAGTCTGTTTAAATATTTGTTTATCTATCTGTTTTGTATGTATAGTTTGTAATATACTTATTTATCTATCTATTTTGACTAATAAATAAATATTTTAATATAGAAAGTTGTTTCATTTTCTCTTTTTTAGTATTCTTTACAGCTACGATACAATAATGACGCAAACGTTAAACAGGTTTAGGTGGAACGTGTGATTCGTCGGCTCCTCTGCTTTCAATTTTTTGTGATCCGTTCCAACGCAAACAGCTTGATACAACGTGAAACTTACAAAATCTGGTCGTTGTCGGTTATTTTTTATTTATGAACACTATTGAACTGGCACGCAACAGCCATTGAAAGCTTCAAGGCAGTTCTTAATTTCCATAAATTTACATCTGAATTTGATTTAAAGCAGCATGGCAAAGAAGGAATAATGCTAAGAAAAAAAAAAAAACAGAAAAAAATCGATACACATTAATTTCGATAAAAATGAAAAAGTGTGTAGCGATAGTTTAGTAAAAAAAATAATTTAACTCGGTATAAAACTTTAGTATAAAATTATGGTTTAGCATCACATTTTTGAAAAAAAAATAAAGTTAATCAAAATTCAAAACTGTCGTTTTCTTGACTGCTTGACCATGGAGCCCATGGAGTCGAGTGCTTCGTAAAGACCCTCCCCTTGGGGCGCGCATGCACCTTGAACATGCCACTGGTTGCTTGTTAACAGTTTATTCAAAGACAATCTTTCAACAATTTCATACGGTTTCAGTGCTCCTGTCAAAAGTTTAAATTAAATAAATTTCGTTGATAAATTAGTTAACGTTTTTTCGCTTACGTAAAGGTCTTGAAGTAATTTTTTCACAAATTTCACATGGAATGTTAATTATTCTTATTCAAGAAGCTTATTTCAATAACTAATGCAACGATCACAATTTTTAAACGATTTCCTGCAGTGCTTATGAATATTTAAATTATTAAAAAACCTGGTAAATCCTGTTTATTGGCAATAATTTGGACAGGAACGTGTTTCATCGCGTCATCTTCTAAAATGTTCATCAGTTCCTCCTTTGCCTCCTCCATTCGGCAAACGTCTGAACTATCCACGACAAATATTAATCCTGCATTAAATGATACAAATGAAAAATTAATCCAGAATACTACTCAAATCATGCTACGTAAAATGCATAAAAAATAAATGAAAGTTGATACGGCAAGAAACTAAAGACACATAAAAAATTCGCGTAATTTCAGCTAAAAAGTTTTTTGTTTTTATAGTGCAATTTTGTTAGACATTGTTTTTAACTGGCAGTAGTTGTAGTGCTACGATGCATACTTGAAATAACTAATAAAATTTCATCAAATGCAAGAGCAGCAATGACGCTATAATCGGTTAGATAGACATCCTATCAGAGGGGTTCGGGTTCTAGGTTTGGATGATTGATTAGAGCTAATATACAAAATTAGGCGTTCAGGTCGAGTGCTTCACTTCTATTCCTTTTTGTAATTCAACGGTTTTAACAATATACAAAATAACGAATAATAATAATAGCTATTTGTTTATTTGTATCGCTTAACTCAAAAAATCATTTACACCATTAGAATTCTTGCTAGTGTCAATGTAGAAAAAAGATTGTACAACTTCGAAAACTTGACAACTATGATCAACTAACCGTCGGTATTTTGATAATAGTGTTTCCAAAGTCTTCTTATCTTTTCCTGACCTCCAACGTCCCAGACAGTAAATTGTACGCCCTTCATAGGACATACCGTCTCGACGTTGAAACCAATTGTCGGAATTGTTGACACAGTTTCGTTCAATTTTATTTTGTATAAAATCGTCGTCTTCCCTTCAACGAAAATTAATAAATTTAAATTTTGTTGAAGTTATACACATAACATAATTATTAAAAAATATAAGTTAGTCATAATGATAGGATGATCTAATATTCTATACATAAACATGCACTCGTGGTTACACATACCTGCAGCATCCAGACCCACCATTAAAATTCTTGCTTGTGGCAATGTAGAAAAGAGATTGTACAACTTCGAAAATAGTAGCCCCATACTAGGGAAAATTATGTTTTGAATTAATAAATTTAATTTGATTTTAAATATTTAGATTACTTCACACTAGGTAATAATTCGAAAGCATTGGAAACCTTTTACTCTTTTATACCAAATGGATATATGCATATTGCATATATATATATATATATATATATATATATATATATATATATATATATATATATATATATATATATACATGTATACACCATAACTCCATACACATCATTTTAAACAACGTGTTCTCTACACAATCATCGCTTTATGACATCTCTCTGCCAGCTTGGAGTTTCATTCATCGCTGCCATTACGTCATGCATTAGGTTTTGGTTTATTGGTACTGTTCGAACTATTAAACATTGTGATTTTAAATATTTTCATTAAATTATTTTCAAATAGTTATTAATTTGAAACACTCTTTTAAAAATCTAGCTGATGGCTAATTTTGAATAAAGGGTTATTAATTCAATATATTAATTATTATCCGCTACAACATGAATTTTTTTACTGTTCTCTTTTTAAAATAAACTAAAAAGAAATTTAAATATTTTGTAATTTATTGCATGAGGAAAAACCTCACTACAAAAAACTTGACCTACAAATTATGCAAACGCTGTTGAACATTGCGGAAATAACGCTTTACAAAATAATCGGTTGATTAATTGAATGATTGAAGGAATGATTGATTGCACTTTGCATTTATTATTAACATTTACTACTGAAATCGTGAGATTTATTATCAGTAATTACTTTTTAAAGCATCAGCATTATTTATTGTAAAGTCCATCTCTATATTGTATAAGAAAGTAACCTCTCAAGCACCTTTTTTTTCATTACTATCTCTCTAATATGTTAATATCTATGTCAGGCTTTTTGTCGTGGTGTTGAAATCTTCAGATTCGTTTTCATTTTACTGCTTATGCATCTGCTGGGAATCACCAATTTTTGTTAAAATGACGGACAATTACGGTTTGAATATTTCAACCTTTTTATTTATGTTTGAAACTTTAAAGTGTATGCATCATTAAAAAAAACTATTTTCCATGTCGGGCTTTGTAATTTTGTAAAATTTATCATTTTCATGAAAATACAATTTTTTTATAATAATTAATATTAAATTAATTAATTAATCGTATTTTTTTACTAATATAAAATTTATATTATAAAATTTATAATAAATAAATGAAAATAAAACGCAACATTGATGACATAACTTTCTTTTCAAAGGATGAACTATTCATCTGTCTATTTATTATTTCATTTCATAAATAAAGTAAAATTAAAATTTAATTGAATAATTTTATTAATTTTCAATACAAGATTTCCTCTTCAAATTTTTGGTCATTGGCAGTGCTGGGACTGGAAAGTCATGTTTGCTATATCAATTTATTGAAAACAAGTGTTAGATTTTTAATTTTTTGTTAGAAAAATAAATAACTATTTAATTAATTAATTAATAATTAAATAAATTAATATAAATTATAAATTTCATAACAAAATTAAATTAATTGTTAATTTGAAATATACACCTGTTTATTATTAATAATTTAATTTAATTAGTAGTTAGTAATAATCTGTATTTTTAAAAAATATTTAAATTTATTTATTATATATTATATATAAAATAATATTATATTTTAGTTTTTAACTTCTTGTGTCAACATGTCTGATGATAACAATTTAGAGGTGGTTAAAAATAGGATTTATAATTGAATTCATAAATGTTGGTGTATGTATGTAAAATATAATGCATATAATATAAACTTGTAGTATTTTAAGCCATATCTTTAACTTGAAGTACATGCTTATTTATATTGCAATCAAGGAATGAAGTTAATAAAATGAAATGGAATTTAGTCCATTATTTTTTTCAACTATGTAATTATGATAAATACCTCACTACAACATAGACAGAAAAGTTTTGAATTAGGTTAATTGGGTTAGGGCACATTCATCGGATTAAATCTCTGACTTTGCCCCATTTATGTAGTAAACGTAAACCTAAACTAAGTTTTATAATAAATCTTTGTGCTAATTATTAAAGTCTCAATTAAAAATTTTGAAATTTTGTTAGAAATTAATTTTTCATTATTATTAACCATCAATTCTCATATCAGTAACAGGATTAGTATTAATTTTGCCAACTTAAAATTGACCGGAAAAATATTTTTTACTGAATTCATCCGTGCAGTTAAAAAGGATTCTACTCACACGATTGGGGTTGAGTTTGGCAGTAAATTTGTAAACATCGGTGGTCAAAAGGTCAAATTGCAAATTTGGGACACAGCAGGCCAGGAAAGATTCAGGTTTTGTTGATCAAAATGATATTTCATCTTTATATTTACATTTTTGTTGAGTTGTTAATTAAATGGTAGACCTATCTCAAATGCTAATTATTATTTTAATTTTTTTATTGTAAAACTTTTTCATTATTTGACATGATTGTTCTTTGTTAATTTATTTGTTAGAAAAAGAATTATAGTCTTAATAAATGAGACATCATTAAACATTAGTTCAAAAACTTTTATATAAACTAAATTTAGTCCACAATACAGTTGTAGTCAAATATATGTTTGGCTCCAATTTCAATATGCTCATTTGCACACATTGCAATTTCCAAAAAATCTAAAACAAGTTTAGAGAATAGTTTATTTTGCATTTGATTTAACAAGAATAATCATTAAAATTTTGAAAGAGCAACAAATTTAGGCGATTAACATTGTAAACAGATCAGTGACAAGAAGTTATTACAGAGGAGCGGCTGGAGCATTGCTGGTTTACGACATTTCAAGGTAACTTCCTCATTATTTGGATTTTTGATAATTAATTAGCTAATTAATTAGTTAATTAATTGATAATTTTTTATATCATTATCTTGTAACAGTTTATGTGGTTCAAAAACATGATTTATTCAATTATTTTTTCAATAACTTGAATGGTGCAATCAGTTTTTAATTTAATCATAAACTTTTTTCTACATTCATGAATATATTTAAAGTCATGATACTTTAGTGAATTATTGTGTTTAAATTTATTTATGTAAGTACCTACACTTGTTAAAGGTTTTTATCACTATTTGTATTCTCACCTGCACGTCTCAACAAACAAACAAATAAACAATGGTAATTATTCTCAACAAACAAACAAACAAACAAACAATGGTAATAATTATGGATGACAGTCGTGAGACATACAATGCACTTGCCAAGTGGTTGTCAGATGCGAGGACACTGGCTAGTTCGAACATTGTTGTCGTCCTAGTTGGCAACAAGAAGGATCTGGAATCGGAGAGAGAGGTCACATTCCTCGAGGCAAGCAGATTTGCTCAGGACAACGGTTTTATGCTTTTATTGTTCATACTGATAGCTTCGCGTTTCATATATTTTATCTAATTTCCAACTACTTAAAATTTTTATTTTTTGCTACTTTCAGGAAACTTACAAACTTAGTAAAATTTGTATCTTATCATGATAAGTTTAGGCTGGTAGCTTTCTTAGAGGTAATAAAAATGTTGAATGTTTTTTAAAAATATTATTATAGATTTATTGTTTTTGGAGACAAGTGCGCTGACGGGAGAAAATGTTGAAGAAACATTTCTGAAGTGTGCCAGAATCATTCTATCAAAAATTGAAACAGGTTGTTAATGTTACGTGATTTCTTCCTTTGTATGTTTCTGTGAATGTATTCATTTGAGTATACAAGTATACATTCATGTGTATATCTATTTACATATGTATGCATATGCACATCTGAACTGATTAACAGAGAGATGATTTTAATTGTTGCATCTTGATATTTTTATCTATATTTTTATCCTGTCACCAAAAATAATCTTTCATTATATTAAAGAAATTGTTGAAATAAATGCCAATCAAACGGCGGGATTTTCAATCTACGAAAATTTGAGTTTGAACATTTATCGCACATACTGCAGTAAAGCGGTAGAGATAACAGATAACAGGGGTAATGTGTAAAATTTTAGAAGCAACGCGTCATTCTCTAATCTACAGCTGATTTATGTAGAATATATTTATGGATGATTTAAAATTGAACTAAATTTTACCGTCTTATTTTCATACTTACATAACGATATTACATTTTTTTTACTGTTTGTTGTTGAATTGAAAGGTGAACTTGATCCGGAAAGAATGGGATCGGGCATACAGTACGGATCTCAACGACCAAGAAGTCTCTCAACTAATAATCGAATCAATTCCTCTTGCAATTGTTGAATGCGTTGAATAAATAAGTTTTTCGTTCAATGCTTTTGTGAATGTGGAATACCGTGATGATTTTTTATGTGAATATCATTTCAACTTTGTAAGACATACTTTATTTCAAAGTTTGATTGTAAATTATTTGGTGTATGGTGTAATTATTTTTTGTACCTATCTTTGTATATCTGCTACAAATATTGAAGTGCTCTAACATATACCCTACGTTCTAAGAATGTGAAGTGTTTATTATTATACACATTGCTGACTCGTTCATTATATTTGAAATTTCGTAATATAGCATGATTGAGATACAATTTATGTGCTTTTATATCAAATTGAACATACTTTACTAATCTCGTTTTTTGATCGTTCTATGCTGTTTACAATAATTTTTATTGATTTTATTTGTTTAACATTCCACTGCATTCCTTCATTTTCATTTTAATGTGATTTTTACAAAGCTTAAACGATGAAATTTTAAAATTTATTTTTGCATCATTCATTATATTTCTGTTAAATTAAAATTAATGAAGCATTGTGTCATTGAGTTAATACATGAATGTTTCTATGTAATTCTGTTGCTTGTTCATTCTAAATAACCATTTTTGCAATGAAATATCACTTTGTTTGAAATTTATTTGCTCAATGTTCAGCGCTCTCTACTCCATCAGTGAGAGATTATTATATTACACACGTAACTATGAAATCTGTTATTAGTGCATGCTATTTGTCTATCTTATATGTCCCCAGCGAGTATTTTCGTGGCTTAATTTTCAATCTAATAAATTAGTTTTTGCTTTTTGAAATCTTGGAAACCAGAATGTCCGAAGTCTTTCTAAAAACAATAATGTAATTTAGCTACTTTTTGACTATTTATTTAGGCTCATTTAAAAATTTCATAGCCTAACTTGTCGTCGCGGTTGGGTTAGCATATTTTCTTTCTAGAACAGGAGTGGGTAAACCGTTTTATGTCGCCGTGATGCTTTGTACATATTTTGACGAAAAAAAACAATATAAACAAAAAAAGGTTGTCAGCTCCCTTTTCAACATTTTAGAAATATATATATTTATATATATATATATATGTATACATACATATATATGTATATTAAAATTCAAAATAAACTTATTTTCAGAATTCATGCTGCAAATAAGGCCATATTTCGATTCCGAATGAATCATCATCAGTGCTTTCTGATGTTTATATATATAAACAAAGTTGAACAATGTTGTAAGTAGTGTTGAATTTTTGAAATATATATATATATATATATATGCTAAATGATTAATCATGTATGAATAATTTTAATGATCGGATCACTGATAATATTGCTAGTGCTTATCCTAAAAAGGACTATTACACTCTTCCTGGGTTCAGAAAAATCAACAACATGCCCCAAACATCGCATATGAATACATGCTAAATGACGCATGTGATAATTGGAGATTTTTGGCATGTTTGAATCGAATCCAGTCACTGCGAAACAGCACCAAGCAACCTTAACAACCACTAACTAGGCCATCACACCACCTATGATTGAAATTGAAAACTGATTAGTAAGCAGTGCATATATATATATATATATATATATATATATATATATATATATATATATATATGCACTGCTCTCTGGCCACAACTTTCACGTAGAGGCAGTTCAGAGCACCCAATGTTACTACGAATATTTAAAAAATGAGAATAAATTTAAAAAAAAAATAGAGTCGGAGTCGTTGTCGAATATTTTTCATCCGACTCCAACACACTGGTTACAGCACAGTCCTGTTAGACAAAATGTAAATAGTTCACTTTTAAAATGTAATTTCGCTTGGTTTCATTTTGTATTCAGTTAGTGCGTGGTTGACGAGACATCGTTAAGAATTTATAATAAATAAAAAGGATCAATCAGATTGTTTACTTTTATTTGTTTAAATATGGAGTTCATTTTTGAAGATATTGATGAAATAATTGAAAATGTTTTAAATCATTTACCCGCACTTGATGTAAACCGGTTTATGACGTTAGTTAGAAAAACATTTTTTAACTTTTATGTTTTATGAGTTTACTTTTTATTTTTTTATGTCAAGCTTCAAGCAAATTACTAGGAATAAAAAACTGATCATTATGTACATTGAATGTGCGAAAAATTAGTAAGCAAATTTCAATCATAGGTGGCGTGATGGCCTAGTTAGTGGTTGTTAAGGTTGCTTGGTGCTGTTTCTCAGTGACTGGATTAGATTCAAACATGACAAAAATTCCCAATTATCACATGAGTCATTTAGCATGTATTAATATGCGATGTTTGGGGCATGTTGTTGATTCTTCTGAACCCAGGAAGAGTGTAATAGTCCTTTTTAGGATAACCATTAGCTAGATTATCAGTGATCCGATCATTAAAATTATTCATACATGATTAATCATTTAGTAATCAGTTATCTCCAACTTTACAATTTACATCGATGTGGTCTTTTCTTAAAAAAGATTTTGCACCTTAAAATAAATTCAATATAATTATAAATATAAGGAACATTTTTGCCTAGGATAAAATATTTTGTAAAGTATTAATATCTCAAATGGGAAAAATCTTTCTTGTGGTGAAATGAATTAGAGCACCAATAATAAAGTAGTTAAAAATTAAAATGCAAAAATATATTTCTGGATTGTGAAGTAAATTTCATAGTTTTTGAAAACTATTTTTTAGTAACAACCTTTTATTAGAAATTTCACAAATCTGCCAACCAAATTGTTATCAAATAATTTTTTCACCAATATGTTCATGATGGTGTGTAGCAACTTATCTTGAAATGTTGGAACTCAATTCCTGTGGGAAATACCAAAAAAAAACGTTATTGAAGTTAGGCTTCTTTTAGTGACAAAGGTACTGTTAGACAAAGGCTGAAAAGAGCAAACGGATGAGTTTACATTTGTTATGATTGTTGTCCAGAAACTTCAGTCTTGGAGTGAAATTGAGCATGTTAGGTCAAACGTGATATCACAGTAAAAATTTTTGGTATGCTTTATTTTATTTAGCTCTCTAAAACATTACCACACTTTAGAGAATTACTTAAAATATTGCTTAATTTAAGAATAGTTCCTTTGGGTTATGTGATTGCTCAATGGTTAAAGACGCCTGGTCCTACTGTTGCAGTGACCTACATTTGAATGCAGAAAGATCCTTCCTATCCTATGCTCTGTGTATGTGATGCGTGATTGTCATGCATATTCATAAATGCTGTGTGTGTTTGTCATTGATACCTAAGAAAGAAGTACAAAAGAAAGAATGACCTTTAACTTTTATGATTTCCTAACAACAAAAATTTTACTTGTCTTTATCAGCTATTTTTTTTAATTAAGAAAAATTTTAATTTTTCATTAAATTTGTCACGTCGATTGTGATGCCGGTTTACTGGATAATAATGCATGACTTTTTGTTATGTTTTAAAATATAATATAAGTAAATACACAATTTTTTTTAGTGTGAGCAAAAAGTGGTATAAAGCAGCAAGAAGGATAAAACAAAGACGAAAAAAGATAACATGTTTTCAATACTCAAGTTTGCTATCGAGACATCAAAGTGAACAACTTGAAGATCTTATGAATGTATCTTTTTTTAATCCACAAATTTAATAAATTAAACATTTGATTTAATGTTAAAACTTTAAAATTAATACTTCAATTTAATAATCTCTCTCTGTGTCATATTTTTTTCAAGCAAATCATCATAATTACTTAGTATTGAATCATCCAACTTTAGCATTGTATTAGCTTTGTGCTGTCACTGACACTAATGTAATATTTGTTAGAACTTTTTTCTTGCTTCACTCAAATAACCCTCTCAGACCAAACCTTTTCAATTGCATGTGGTTAAAGTTCCATTATTTAATTTATCTTTTAGTTTGTGTTGATTTGTATGTGCATTACGGACATTTTAAAAACATGGATTTATACATATTTTGAACTATTTAAAAGAACATATAACAAATTAGTGATAAAAATACTACTCAATATAAAAAAAACTCGATCTTCATTTAAATAAAATTGAATTTATATTCTTCATGTTTTTATTTTTATATCTTGACATTATACAACCATTTACATATAACAAATTTCAGAATATTTCCATAGAACCAAAAACAGTTTTAGCTTTTGTTACTGAGAAACTTGATAAATCCTATGTATCTGTACCTACAAGCCGGCTACCAAGAGCTGCCAAACGAGAAAGATTAAGCTTTCACAATTACATAAAAAGGATGTGGCCAGCTTCCTGCTCTTACATTGAAATTATATCTGACGGAATTATTGGTTAAAAATTTAGTTTTATTTTTTCAAATAACACTTGAATATTTGCATGCTTGAATTTTAATTATCAGTTCAATAATATTAATAACGTTTTGTTAAGTTATTAAAACACTGTATCACTTCATGGAATGAGTTGAAAGTCATAGAATGAATGAAAAAGATTAGATCAACTATAGAATCAAAATGATTACAGAATGATGAACTTTTTATAATATAAAAGATGACTTTGTTGTAATGATACAGAAAGCTTCCTAATGAATGACACACGTGTCACGAATTGGAGGAATGTAACACACTGGCATTTTTTTTTATAAAAATAGGCGAGTAATTAAAAAACTGAAATGCAAATGTTATAAATGAAATTGGTTTTCTGTGTTTTATTGCATTTATGCATTATCCGCTTTTTCAATTTATTAGGTCTTGCACTACAATAATATAAATTGATCAAATTATTTATATTTATTTCTATTACTCATAGCAACTGATTGGAACTGTGTAAACATACAAGAATATGAAAATTCAGAAGCAGCCAGCCTGCTTATGATTCCTAAGAGGCCAGATTTGAACATTGAAATAAAACTTCCAAATTTGAGCCAGTCCTTGTTTGAAGATTTGAATAATAGCAGTGATGACATGCTGCTTAATGAGGATAGGACAAGTGACGATTACGGCAACTATGATTTGGAAACTAATGAATCAAGTATATTTTAATTACATAAGAACAGAAATATAATTAAATAGAAAATGTTATACACGTTACGAACAGTGAGATAACATTGCAGGTGATGATGCTTCAAACAATTTTTGTCCCCAAAAGAACAATAAAAATGATCATAGAAACGTACAGACGCCAAAATTAGTATTATTCTTCTATGACGATTTGAAGGCAATGATGCCAAGAACATTTTGCAAACACTACAAATGTATCGTAGCAGGCTGCCAGGTCGACCGAATTTTTGTTGGGTAAGGTTAATGAAATTGTTTCCATTAGTGCATATATTAAATGAAATCAATTCAATATTATAAATTGTTAACAGGGACAAATACACAACGTCAATTGGTTTAATATTTAGAGGCAATCAAAATGTTCATACCGCTTCTGTGGTCCTCAACATTTTTTGTAAAAAAGAAATCAGTATTGAGTCAGAGTTGAAAAAATTCATACCATTTTTAAGGGAAAAATTTGAAGGTAATCATGAAGGTTGCTTAAATAAATAATGAATTCATTTAACGTATGTATTTACAATTGTGTAATTGCAATCAGGCAAGTCAGAAGGAATGGTATCCAATTTTGATGTCAGCAAGTACAACCACAGGATGCTTGCTTTCATGTTTTCGTGTGTGGCTCGTGGTTCACAATTCTACAGGGGCAGACTCAACGTTGAATCAAAAATCTTCAAAAAATTATACCCAGGAGTGCCACTTCTTGGGCTTTTCGGTTATGGAGAGGTTGGTACAAATATTCTAAATCAGAAAGACCTGGAGGAAAGAATAAAAAAATGTCACTGTGACATCCAACACGATGACGATGATGATGACTTCTTCAACACAAACAGCAGCATTTTTGTAATGCTTACTTTTTAAATTTATGATCCCATCAGGTTGCACATGGTTCTTGTTACTAAGATTATTTGATCTTGATCACAAATTAAAAGGACAATTAACTGTGAAAACCTTAATATGTATCAATTTGTTGCCGTTTGTCAAATTTGACTGTGCTGTTATTAAACAGTCACTTGCTTGTTGAAATGAACTTTTAGATTTGAATTGTCGAATAATGAATATATTATTTTAAAAAGATCGAAATATTAAAATTAGTATAGTATATAACTACAATAGGGAAAAATTAATTCAGATTTGTAGCTTTAATCATTTATAGAATGGACTACGATTTTAAAGAATCAAACTTTAATAAAAATGAATAAAAATCAAACGGTTTATTAAAAGAAATATCATGATAGCGTGGATAGAATTTCAACAATCTCTTTTGAGGTGGCAACATTTTTTGCCGTGCACTTGCTGCTGTCTTCTATGTTGCAGTCAGCTCCATGTTCTATTAAAACTTTCACAACTTCAATATAGTTGCAGAAAGCAGCTGTTTGTTAAGAATAAATGATAACTGACTGTGAACAAATAAGACGTGATTTTTAAAAACTAATTTTTAAACGGCGGTTTTCTAAGCAATGAGCGACAGTTGTTTTATTCATAAGGGCTTAAAGATGATAGCTTTTTTTTACAGACTAAAAATAAAAATAGTTAAATTACAAAAAAAATTTATATCATTAAATTTACCGAACATCAATTACCATAATGTAGAGCTGTCTGTAGTTCATCATCCTGGCAGTATGAAACATGTATGAAATTGATTTATATAATAATTACGTGAGACTGTAACGCTCAAATTATGATATTAATTTTTGCTTGCAATAAATAAATAAATGAAGATAAGAATTTTGAGAAGTCAGTGGTATATCATGTTGATATATGAAACTTAAAAATGTGCCAAAACATTACTTGCAGGTTGATATTAGCCCCCTTCTCCAACAAGTACTTTACAATTTCAATATTCCCTCTATCACAACTCCAGTGAAGCAGAGACATGCCCTGTCAATGTTGAATTTCATGTCATCTTTAAAATACTATTGAAAAGTTTGCAATTAATTCCAAGCTAAGGAAAGAATTTGAAGTTTTTTATCTGGGTAAGGTGCTGCAGAATATTAAGAAGGGCTTCCATACTTCTGGATTAAAAGGTTAAAGTATGATACATGCATAAAAAACTGAATGTTCAAATGTGAAATACAAAAAAATATTTGTTAAGAACAAGAAAAGATTGTGAAAACAGGACAACTGCAAAGATTAAATGGAAATACAATCTAGCAATTAAATAACTGGGGATAAATGAGTTGAATGAATTAAATTGAGATAGACGAAGATGGTAGCAAAGTCCCTCAAGAATGCTGACATGTAAGACAAGGACAAACATCCTGGGAAAGAGTTGCTGGTATTTAGTTTTGGATCTGAATGAAAATTTTTCAGTGAAGAGGAAAAGTTGGAAAAAAGTGAAGCAGGGAATACTATCTTTAAGAAATAGTGATAGGCTCAAAATCAAAACTTCCAATCAAACACTCGTATGTATTTACGATGTTGATATATATCATGGTGTATGTCTATGTGGCATATAAGATAAAAGCAAATCAAAGATCTAGAAGAGACTCATTGAACTTACATTTTCGTCTTTGTCATCGATTTGACTAGGTTTTAGCATCTCATTTAGCTTTTCCAAATTTCCTTCTTGACAAAAATCAAATATTGACTTATTATTTTCATTTAAATCATTTTCCTGGTGCACAAATTTACTGACTCCTAACCCAAGGCCAGTTTTTGCTTTAGAACCTGTCTTCAGCTGACAGAAAGTTATGATAAAATTTTAAAATAATATATATTTAAAAAATTTAAGAAATTATAAATGATTAATGAATTACACATGTTCAGTACATTATCTTCCCAGTTTTGATCAATGTCTGAAACTTTAGAGATATATTCCAACATGCTTTCTTCTTTTGATTTGTTTTCAATGGCTTTCCATGCATCCCTAAAAATGAAATATAAACTACTTTATTTTGAAAAAACTTTTATTTTTGGCATCTTTTTAACCATTTCTGTTTGCCTTGAAAATCAAAGAAACCCGGTCTTGGTGTGCTACAATTGCCATCTAATGCCTATTTCCAGAAACAAAAATATTAGTTTATTAATTCTAAAACACTTGGCAAAATGCAGAAGAAAATGAGCTAATTTTAGCAAAAAATTGAAGATGGAAAGATGATCTAACTAAATTTATCCTTTTAAAGTTTTAAACTAAATGCCTGAACTCAACACAATATTTAATTTCAATAATATTAATTTTATTTTTTTAAATTTTCATTACATTATTAATTACTTTACATTACAGATTACACACAGACTCGGTATGTAAATGTCGACAATGTCTAACTAAATGAGAATATAACATTAAAAAAAAAAAAAATAAGAAACCTGTTTGTATCTTGAATACAAATATAACAAATCGTCACTTCCTAACTTATTGTGAATAGTCCTCACGTAGTTAGCCGCGAACAGAAACCTTTCGAGCAGATCACTCTCTGACTGTTCTAACATCGCTTATCGGCTAATTATTTTTTAAATTTATCACAACCATACATATACATCACATAACATAAAACCTAACTGGAGCATGCAATTTTTACAATAACATAATTGTTTGGTTGGAGGGTTGGATCATTTAAAAGTGAAGAGTGTGGTGCCTTGCCTTTTTGAAAGAAATATCGATAATCTTCGGATAATAATAGACCCATCACTGTTTGTTGTTGTTTCTTCTCGCACGTGTTTTTTGTTATAAAATTCAGCCGTATCAAAAAGAACTTCACGTTTCGTTGTATATTTAGTATTTACATTATCGGAAGTTACTTGGTTTTCAAAAGTATGTCGGCGAAAAAACTACAAAACAGTCTAAAAAATCTTTCTACGATAGATGCGGAATTTGCCGAATTCCTGAAAAGAGAAGATGGTGGCTTGCTAAATTTTGAGGTAAGTGACGACGATGGAGATGAACATGAAGAGGAGGAGGAGGAGGACAACGATGATGATGAGGATGGAGAAAAAAGTGAACACTCAAAGATGACTGTTAGAAACTTTTGTCTTTATCAACATAGTAAATAGTTCAATTTCGTTATTAATTTATAATTAATCATGAATCGTTAATTAAAAAGGGCAAGGTTAAGGTCGGATCTATATATCAGGTGTCTTACATGTTGAGTAAAAAAAAGGGAACTAATGACATATGTCAGGCAAATCACACATTGAGTTATTTCTTGATTGATTATTGATTGTCTTTTTAAATTAGGTTGCCAGTGATGAAGATACTTCAGATGGTGGTGGTGATGATGATGATAAAGATTCCCCTGCTGTAGTTAATAAAAAGGGTAAGAAAAAAAAGAACAGACCTGGCCAGGCACTGGTGACACTGAAGATGGTGAAAAAGTGGAGCAATTTATTGAGAGTATGTTCATATGAATTTATTTATATATGGCTTTAAAAACATTTTTAAAATTATAAACCAAAAATTTCATTTTTATGAACCTTATACAATGACTTTGTACCAGACAAATATAAGACTGGGCCTGGAAGAGATAGTGCCTGCCTTCAGTGCAGCTGTCGTGTTTGGCACATCTAAAGAAGATGAAAGTTCGACAAATAACTATATCGTGGAGGGGGTTAATGGTATGCCATCGTTCTTATTGTTATAATGATACCACTGTCATTTTATAATTATTTTGCATGTGATGGGCAGGGGTCTTTTTTAATCATTAAATTCATGATATTAATTTTCAAAGAGGGATAATTTTTCCACTACTCCCATATCATTTCCAGTTTACAGTGAAATCATGAACGTCTGTCTAGTTGATCTCATTCCATTGCTGCTGAAACATTTATCATTGCCAGTACCACCATCACACTCAAAAAAATTAGTTCTGCCATCTCACGGTACAAATTGGAAAAGTTTCAAGTTATTGGTGAAGGCATACATAACGGATGTTCTCAAGGTATTTTTTTAAATTTTATCAGAGATTAATAAGTTTCAAATGATTTTCAGTTCACGGATAGTGAATGCTTGCATGAGTTTGCTCTTGGTTTCATTTGTTAACATTATCATCAAAGGAATATAATTAATTTCATCTTATCAAATATATCTATTAGACATTTGAAAAATGTTCAGCTATTATTAAAATTTTTGTAGCTCGTGAAGTACAGCAAGGGGAATGAGGGTAGCATGTTGCAGTTGATGAAGCATGTGCTTGAACTCGTGCCATTCTACCTCTGCTATCACAAACTTGTGAAAATATTCATCAAGGTAGTTTTCCATCATTCAGTCATTCTATATAATTATTAATGATAATAACAAATGGACAAAACTGAAATGTTTACAATTGGGTCATAGTGTTGTACGAATCTTACAATAGTTAAAGTGACATTATGTCATACATGTTTGTGTTATATAATGTAGGACCAAGTTGAAACAGGATTTAATCTTAATGTAATATCTGGTTGTGCATGTGCAGAACAGTTCTACATTTTGCCATTGCTCTGTCATCTGAAAAACTTCCATTCAAATAAATTGTTGAGGCAATGATATGCACTCATATTTTATTATTACTGAATCTTGATTGGAGTGAGAAACCTTGGAGCAGTAGTAAGCGTTAGACAGAGGAGACCATTGTTCTAAAATCTTTTTAAAATGTACATAAAACAGAAGAAACACGTATGAAAAGTGCTTGACATGAACACATCATATAAGTGCTGCATATACTGGGGACAAGGAGTGTTAAGTGAACTAGTTGATAGCAGAGGTGTGTTTCAACTTGTGCAGTTGAGTAATAATGGACAGGATTATTTATATCTGAGCTGACATGTAAATAATAAATCTATTTTAAACAAAAGTAACTTGTTTCTACTGATATGTATAACAAACAAACAAACAATTGCAGCAACTAATTGAACTTTGGGGCACGTCAGAAGATTCAATAAGGATTATCTCATTCAGGTGTCTTCTCAAACTCATGAACAACCTCAACGAAAAACAGATCAAATTCACTTTTAATGTTGGTTTTTGAACATTCTACCTCTTCATATGAAACTGATAAACATATTTCTTAGAATTTTGTCAAGCTTTTCGTGCAGTTAAATTTTCTTAATTCTTTTTTTCTTAAAATATTTTGACGCTGAACTAACTTCACCACTCCAATGGTAGTTGGAAGTTTGTTGCAGATGACAGAAATTGATGATTTTAAAAAATTACCTCCAGAACCTCTACTTGTCATGCATGCGAAATTGTCGTTTCACGAACGCAACGAGTCTGCCGTCAATAAACTTCATGAAGCAGTCTCTCGTTGAGTTGTACTGCCTGAAACCTGATGTGGCCTACAACTGCTGCTTCACATTTTTGCAGCAGATGGCCAGGCATTTACACAGTGCCTTACAGTCAAAAAAAAAAGTTTGCTTATTCATTTGTTTTTTTTTAACTAATAATTTTAATGGTTTAATTTATAAAAATTGAAAAAATGTTTATAACATCAATTGTTGAACGTGTTGTATTGGAAAATTGAATGCAGGAATCATTGCAATCGGTGAACAACTGGCAGTTTTGTCACTCTATGTCCATCTGGGGACAACTTGTTGGCCAGAAAAATGACAACAAATTTATCAAATCGCTACAACATCCACTAGTTGAAATAATACTCGGCTGTGTTCGGTTAGCTTCTTAGTTTTTTTTAGGTTCCAAATGAATGTTGTTCCTATGTTCATGTCGATAATGTTCTGCGTGAACTGTGTTGAAATTGACTCCACATTTTTCTTCCTCTAACCTTTTCAACTGAAACTTCACTGTTTACTTTTCTGCCCCTCTCTTTCTAATTCATTTTACCTGCCCATTCATTCATTTACCTTTTATCTTCTGATTGTCATATACATTAAAATTTTTTAGGTTTTCCATTAAAGTTTTTTTGTGACATCCTACATGCCTTGCATTTATATTTGCTTGTTTACATTTAGAGTAATAAAATTTAAAAAAATAAATTTTGTTATTTTAAGATTGAATCACTCACCGGCATACATGCCTCTGCGATTGTTCTGTGCACGTGTGCTAGCTCGCCTCTCTGAGCAAACGAGTGTCTACATACCTGTCCTGCCAATCATTCTAGAGGTAATCTCTCAACTTGTCCAAACATAATCTGCCTTCATTCATAAACATTACAGTTCATATTTTAAATGTAAGTTATTTTGACTGTTTTACTTCAAATTTTCACAACAGCCGCTAGAGTTGCAACTGTTCAAAAGTACCCCGAAGCAGACATCTATGAAGTCGTGTACGTTCGCTTGCTGTTTGAGAATGAACAAAAACGAACTCAAGGAAAAGGCTTTTCTGGTAAGTAATTGTGGAGTGAACTTTTGGCAACTGAATCATAAATCAAACTTTTAAAATGAATTTTAATTGATAAAAAATTAAAATTTGCAGGATGCTGCCATGGATGAAATATTTGAATTGCTGTTATATTACTGTTCATTGTATTCGCACACTGTCGGCTTCCCCGAGCTTGTCCTGCCTCTTACCATTCAGGTTCTCAACACTTTGTCTGTCTTGCAGTTTTCTGATTGCTATTGCTAGGATCAAGATTCTTCGTGTTGATTGTTTAGATATTTTTATTTTTGCTAGGAATGTTGTGTCAGTGAATTAAATTTTCGTTTGAAAATTGTTTTCCCTTTCTTTGCCTCATCTATCTGTTAGAATTTTATATTCAAAGTGATTTTGGTCACGTTATTTGAAACGCTAATCAGTTTGTTATTAGATATTGTTCAACGAAAAAACATTATTCAGTTGAAGAAGTTCATTAAGAGTAGTCGAGCGGAGAATTATGTGAAAAAGTTGAAGCAGGTACACGAAAAGATACTATCAACGAGTGAAAACATCAAAAAGAAGAGGAGGCAGGCTTCTATAGATATCAGAAATCAAGACTCTTTAGTACGTTTTTTTTGTTCCCACATAATTTTTTTAAATTTGAATAATTGTTATTGTATTATTGAGATTGATGTACTTGCATGTTATGTTTGAAATTCTAATCTTCATTCTTTTAACTAAATTTTTTTATTATTTGTTTCACTGATTATGCAAATTATAATTCACCGAAAATACACCCCAATTTTCTGAACACAGAGCTCGTTTGAGGAAACATTGAGAGGAGAAACCAACGACATCAAAAAGTTTTATGACAGCTGGATGAAATTGAGGATAAAACAGCTGGAAATGCTGGCATCTAAAAAGGAACAGGTAAGTTGGCAGGCATTGAAGTGCAGTGATATGATCTTATGATCACTTTCTGTCTTTGGGCTCTAATATGGTGGTCTCTTGCTTTTTGTGTCATTCTTCATCATCTAAATGAAATATCAATGAATACGGTTTAAGATATTCAACGTTTATATCTTATTTGCAATTTTATTTAAATTTTTCTAGTAAACATTCGACATTATTCAGCAAAAATAGTTTATAAGATAACATTATTTGCATTGATTGCAATATTAGATTTAACGATTTCACAACATTATTGAAATGTAAGCCATGCCCTAATATGCAGATATGCAAGGATAAACTGCCTGAAATTAAGAAACCCTCTATTCGGGAGAAATCTGAAGAGGAGAAAGAAAAAGACAAGAAGAAAATCAAGTCACTCTTTAAAATCAACGGTCAAGATGACGGTGATGATGAAGATGACGACGAAGAGGAAGATGACGACGTTGAAAGGTTAACTTGCTTTTGTTTGTTTGCTAACCCGTTGCTAACTGTTTGGGCAGATGTTTCTGATTTTATTGCAAGTGCGTGGGATGTGCTAATTGATTTTATATTGGCATAAATCTTTAGGTTAAAGTAAGTTTCAGTATTAAAATAAACAGAATGAATACAACGACTTTGTTCAAAAACTATTTCACAGTTTTTTATAAGTGCTTTTTAATTTGTTTCTAAACTGATCAGAGTAATTTCGTTCAGTTTCAGAAAAATTATTTCAATATAGTTAAAAATTGAAAAATTTTTGTCTTCCGATATTTTTGTAAACTAATAGTTGTAAAAATAAATTTATTTTCGCAGATTCAAGTTGAAAGAAGAAAGAAGTTCATCCACAAGGTGGTGCATTCATTTAATCGTTATTAGTTTAAGAGTATGAAACGTAAAAATATTATTGGATTCGAATTGAAAAATTTTTAAACTTAAACATAGAAATATAAGGATAGTTAGTGTCACATAGCTGTACTGTAGTCTGACATTTTCATGATCTCGTCCGATTAATCTCTATCTTGTCTGATGCAGCTTGATTTTGTACTTCTTGATTGTGTACTTTTTTTATGTAAATAAAAAACTTCACTGATTCATTAATCAGATCCTATTTTCTTTACAATGTTTTTTTTTAATTTTAAGAAAACGTAAACGGCCCGAGAGTGACGATGAAGAAGATGACGTCGAAAGGTTTGTTTTAATTTTCTATTTACTTACACAGAATTTTTTCACTCAAATGTGTTCTCAAATTTATTCAATAAATTTTCAGTGATGGTGAAGACGAAGAAGAAGACAGTGATAGTGAGGATGATGATGAAGAGATGGATGTAGATGACAAGACATCCGATAAAAAGAATCATGGCAGAAATATTGACGATAGTGATGATGGCGACGATGATGGCGATCAACCTGACATTGTGGAAGACTTTAAATTTGACGATGATGAGGATGATGGTAATAAAGATGCTAGTGATGATGATGATGGTAATGACGATGCTGGTGATGATGACGATGATGATGATGATGGTGAAAACAGTGATAATTAATAAGTATATCTATTTTTTTGATTGTTTTTTTGTAAATTAAATTCTTTTTCTTTAAAATAAATATTTTTCAACCTATTTCTATTTTTGCAAAATTTCTCTGCGCAAATATTGTTCCTGTTTAATTTCCTCCACTTTTTCTGGCTTCAATGTCATTAGGCTTAGGTCGTATCACTTACTGATTAGACTCTACCTTGACATGGAATGGTTGTTGGTGTCTGGCGTGCAGACACAACCGCCTTACTTTAATTTTTTTAGACAAATCATTGGAATCGTCAGTTTGCCCGGTTCTTCATTTCGCTGACCATTTGTTTTTTTGTATGTCAGAATTTTATATATGGCTAACATTGTTTGGTCATAAAAGGAAAAAATTCATTATTTAAATTGCCGTGTTCAATCTTGCCTTATAACTGTGATGGTGAAAACAGTGATAATTAATAAGTATATCTATTTTTTTTGATTGTTTAGGCCCCAATTAGCAAAATGACTGATAAATAATGGATAAGTTAAATGGTCTTACAAATAACTCGATTAATATTCAATTAATTTTGAATTGATGAACTACGTTTTAATTTAAATGGGCATTGATAACATGCAAAAATCAGTAAGCAAGTGATCTACCTTAGAATTGTAGGTCTCAAAAGGTGACCTATTCTAAAGAAGAGAGTATCAAAAACACTGAAATATTCAAGTTATCTTACGAAGAGTCAGAAAAGGCGATAAGAATTATTGTCGAAATTGGATAATGAATCAGAATTCAAAGCAGGAATCGGGCGACCAGAGTTGTTCTTATTATTGACACACCACTTCATTCAGCGGATAATCGTTTACAGCGTAAAAAATACTCTGCTATTACGTAATCGTTTCCAGATCAACTTAGGATTAAATACCTAATTTCATTTCCTTTCGTCTCACTCAAATACTTAGAATCAAACTGTCTCTTATGAGAGTAAGAGGATTATCAAAAAATTCATTTCACCCACGATGGTCTTCAGTTTTCCATATTTTCATGTTGTGTTTATTTTTCTTGAAGTAAGGACAGCACAACCCAGAATAAACAGTTTCTCGGCCAACCTAATGCCAATTAATTAATTTTATTTTAATTTTGTTTTTTATTTTATTCCGGCTTAAAATGTTTTTAGATGTTTTGCTCTATTAATTATTGTAATGAAATCTGTTTTTTAATCACTAGCTATGGTTGAATTTGTAATAAGTACATAATTCAGATTTTTTTAAATTTTTTTATCTTGATAAAAAAAACTTTTCACTCAAAATATTAAATAAAATAAAAATAAAACGTTTGTGCTTTACTGACTGCCATGGCCGATCTGGATGGCAGTGAACGTTCAACAGATTTAAGTTCAACCGACAGCATCATCAACAGTAAAACAAAAACTAAAACAGTTCAAGGTATTTCTGTAGAACAGGTTAGTGACAACGACGTTAACAGAGAAGTGGGGCCGTCACACAATACAGACGATGATACAGGTTCTGATCACAATAATAATAACAGTAATATAATAATATATGCTGAAAAAGGAAATATAAATGGTAGTACTAATAGCAAGGGTGAGGTTTGTGTTACAGCTGGACACATTAGAGCTAAGTTGGAAGATCCAACTGCTTATATAAAAAAATCAGATGCTAAAACAAAAAAGAATTCAAAAAGAAAAGGAGGTTTTGTTAAAAAGTCTCCAGGTCTTGCGCAGAGGTTTGCTACTGATAGCCATATAAATAGTGTTAGTGATAAAATAAAGAATAATGATGATGAAAATGATAGTGAAGATAAATATGGCTGCATTATCATGACTGCAAATCCTTGTGCACTCAATGATGACCTATCTACTGATGGTGATGAGGATGGTAGCTATGAGGGCATGAACAATAATGATGATCAAGTTGATTATGCCAGGAAAGCAAAACTTAAAAATATTGCTAGAATCAATCTTATTTATGAAAGGCAAATAGAATCAGAAATGAATGTGGGTGATTGTTCTGTTGAAGACATTGCACAAGAAGAAGAAGTTGGTGAGGCAAGTTTTGAACATGGTACCAACCAAATTATCAGCTGTCATGATGACCAGTGGATTAATTTAGAAAAGAATTATTTCATAGAAAATGCTCCAGACAGTAAATCTACCAATTGTTCATCTAAGAATCCATTCAGGAAACTTGATTTAGACTTTTCAAAACTTCATACCCCAAAGTATGAGAAGCACAATATCATTGGTCGTCTAAATCTTCCTTCAGTTGAGGATGGACTGTCCAGTGGTCAGGTCACAGATGAAGATGTTGATGATGATGATGATCTAGTCAATGTCAAGGTTGATGTATCCAATGAAAGTGTTGACCAAGATGAGCACAAATCATTTGCTGGAAATGTTGTGACTGGAAGCAACATTGAACAAATTCAGTTCTCTGGAAATGAAGAAGATGTGAATCCTCTTGCATCCAATGCCATGACTCATGGTGATATAAAAATTATTCCAAACAATAATCAACATGCAGTTCTTAAAAATGATGATTCAAAAGTTGGAGATATCAAAGAAATGAAAGTAATGAGTAGTGAAGGTGTTGCTAACAAGAATGGTGACGATGATGCTGATAATAATAGAGATGATGGTGAAAATGATGTTAAGAATGATAATCCTGGTGGTGAGGACAACCTTCAGTGTGATGATAATCATGTGGATAATGGGGGAGATGAAAATGTTGGTGATGATGAGTTCGAGGGTGAACGCAATGAAATAGAAAATATGCATAAAAATGGTTCATTTTCATCTGAATCAAATAATATTAATGTAGATTGTGTTGTGGCATGTGAAACTGTTTTTAATGTTGAGACGGACAGGACAAGTTTAGATGATAAAGATTTGCCACCATTATTGCCAGAATTATCTTCGTTATCATCGTCAGCTGAATCATCACCACAAAAATCAGTAGCCACCACTTTATTCTTGCCAACATCTTCATCATTGTTAGCAGCTAATCAGTCTTCCTCGTCGTCATCATTACCACATTGGACATCATTGTTGCCAGAGCATGCAACAAACGATGCAGCAACGTTGAAACAAAATTCTAGTCGTGTAACATCTGTGCAGTCTGATGAGCAACAGCTGCAACCGGAACTGCAACAACAGCTGCAACCGCAACTGCAACAACAGCTGCAACAGATACAAACAATTTCATGTGAGAATTCAATTTCTTATTCTAATGATGCTGATGATGATAGCTGTGCCTATGATGGCAACAACAATGATAGCAACAAAGATGATAAGAATGGTGATGTTCCAGTTTGCAATGGCGATGTGTGCGACAATCATCCAGGCAGCACCATCACCGGTGGTGATCTATGCTCTGTAAATAGTCCGACAAACGATAGCAATATTTCGATGAAGAAGTTCAATGATCAGTCAGATTCAGTGACAAGCAACAAAAATTGTGATAATAAAAATGAGATTAATAACGATGATGTTGATGTTGATGAAGAAGATGAGCAGGATGTTACTCAGATAGCAACAAGTAGTGTAATCAACATCACACCAGTGAATGATGATAACATCAACCTTCCTCATATCAACACTGCTCATACATCCAAAAGCAATCAAACAAATGCAAACACAACCTTAACAGCAATGGCAACAACCGCTTCATCAGATGAAAAATCAGTTCCTTTACAAGAAGGCCTAACAAAAACATGCACTTCTGCTGATGATGACATTGACAACAACAAACTAAAGAGTGATGACAACAGATTAAATAACAACAATCACTCAAACGATATTGTGAACAATGACAGCAACGACAACAACAGAGCAACCAACAGCAATGATAACAACATTAACAACACAAACAACATCCTGTATAGCTGCCGCAACAACAATGAACAACGTGACAGCAACGACACCAAGATCAACCACAATCAGCCATATATAAGGGTGAACTCGGATGCTAGTACCCCACCTACATCAGCAACTGTTAATAAGCAGTTGGAAACCGAAACTGAAGTATTCCAGTTGCAGCCTATAGTGGGGCTTTC